GTATAACATCATAGGTTCCTCTGCTTTCACCACAATCTCACTCAAAAGAGATCTAACCCAAAGAAGTTCTGAGACACTATGAGCCATGGATCTATACTCGGCCTTTGCACTTGACCTTGCCACAACTGCTTGCTTCTTACTCTTCCAGGAGTTCAAGTTTCCACCTACAAAGGTACACACTCTTGATGTAGACCTCCTATCATCTAAGCATCCTGCCCAGTCTGCATCTGTATAGGATTCTAATTTTAGATTCTCATGATTTGAGAAAAGAATGCCTCTGCCAGGGTGCTTTTTCAGATATGCAAGTACTCTTTCAATAGCTTCCCAGTGCTAAACCCGAGGTGCATGCATGTATTGACTCACAACACTGACAGCATAAGAAATATCTGGTCGTGTCATACACAAATACAGGAGTGTCTGTTGGTTTGGTCCCCAGCCAGTCTCTCGTTGTAGGTCAAGTACATACTTTCTCTGTGAAATGAAGATCCCATGTTTGGATCTTGCAACTTCAATCCCTAAGAAGTATTTGAGCTCACCAAGATCTTTGATCTCAAATTTTTGCTGCAATGATTTTTTGAGATCATCAATCTCCTCCAGATCATTTCCTGTCACCACTATATCATCCACATACACAATTAGAATTGACACCAAAGCATCTCTCCACTTCACAAAGAGTGTGTGATCAGACTGTGTTTGTGTGTATCCAAAACGGATGAATGCCCCTCTGAACCTGTTTTGGTCCATATAGAGATTTTCTGAGTCTGCACACCTTTCCTTTACCAACATTTTCATAAAAGCCTGCTGGAATGTCCATATATACCTCCTCCTGTAAGTCACCATTGAGGAAAGCATTTTTGACATCAAGTTGGAACAAGGGCCATGAATAGGTGGTTGCTAGAGATAAAAGGATACGGACTAAACTCATCTTAGATACTGGTGCAAAGGTTTCCAGATAATCAACACCATAGGTTTGAGTATACCCTTTTGCTACCAGCCTTGCCTTGTACCTCTTTATCTTTCCATCGGCCTTATACTTCACTGTGAATACCCATCGACATCCGACTGTCTCCTTGTCTAGGGGGAGATCAACTATTTCCCAAGTTTGGTTTTTGACCAAAGCATCCATCTCATCTCGCATGGCTGTTTTCCACTCAGGTTTGGAGAGAGCCTCAGTAATATTCCTGAGTATAGACACAAAATCCAGGGAAGAAAGCAAAGCACGGTAGGAGGGTGATAAGGCGCTGTAGGAAAGATGGTGTGAAATGCAGTGGGCTGTACACTTTCTCTTCCCCTAAAGAAGTGCAATGGGAAGATTAAGGTCAGTGGGATCAGCTGCAACAATGGTGTAAGGGACAAAAACATTATCATCAGAAAACATAACCGGCTCAGGCTCAAGAGGAATACCTGGAATTGTATCTGCCGAATCTGGAGTTTTAGAAGGACTGGCAGAGAGTGGTGTGGGTTGAGGATGTGTGGAGTCAACCATCATCTGCCGGCGCTGATATTGCTGTGAGGCTGCCCGTAGTGGCTCAGGTAATGAAACTGGAGGAGCAGGTGCTGGTTGAAGTGCAGGTGGTGGCTGAATTGATGTAGATGCTAGCTGAACTGATGGAGGCATCACAGAAACAGGAAGTGGAACAAATTGCGAGTTCTTCTCCCCAAAACTCTCCCCCTGAGGAGAACCACTCGAGAAGAAGAATGTGGATTCATAAAAGGTAACATCCATAGTGACAAATCTACTCCTCAACACTGGGTCATAACAACAATACCCCTTTTGGTTCTGAGCATACCCAAGAAAAACACATTTCTTGGCCTTAGGATCCAATTTTTTGCGATGAGGGCCAAGAATGTGAACAAAAGAAACACAACCAAAAACCCTCAGAGGTATATGAAATATCTCTCCATTTGGAAAAAGAAGGCTAAATGGCACCTTAAACCCCAAAGTCCGTGAAGGA